TCATCATATCCTTTAAAAGTATGAAAATGACCCTTAGATCACATGGAGTTGGAATCTTATGCTATACAAGTAAAAAGTTTGTATTGTCATCTTGAAATTACAATGAAATTGAATAAAAATACCCATCGTTCATCCATGAAATTAAATCAATATTTTCTTTTCTTTGCAATGTCCAAGAATCTTAACCAGAAAGTTGGAAGCAGACAAGTGTACACATAAATCTCAAGTTCTTTCAGTCAGCTAAAGTATACTTTATTTAACTGAGGTTGGGGGTTTCTTGGTAGGTTTACCTGAATATTCCTTCATTTTCTAAACCTTTAACTCTGTTCTTTTTTCCCTCCTTCCCATTGAATTGGCTAACAAAGAAGTTTTGGACTTAATATTAACAAGGCATAATACCAAATAAATAAACTCAGAATTTATATAAAAAAGTTATTTTGAACTTTATTCGAGCATTTTAGCCCCCAACGTTTTATTTTAGGTAAAAATATCCCTCCATAAGGAAAATCATTAGTTAACAAATAATTAGCATTCCAAAATAGAGGGTTTTTTTATCCTAAATTGAAACATTGATGACCAAGATGTTCTAATAAAGGTTAAAGTGACTATTTAATCAAACGTTATGAATCTTTTTGTCCTAAGATGAGATGTTAGGGGCCAAAACTCCCAAAAAAATATAATAGAAGACAAAATGATAATTCTAATAAACGTTAGGAGTTAAATTTGAGCATTATGCCTATTAACGAAACTAAACTTACTAAACATTAGCTTGCAAACAATATTGATATTGAAAGATGCTTTCGGGGTTTGTTAGTGCTATTATTTAGTACCTTATTACCGTCTGTGGGGGAAAGTTCCCCCTTAATTTCACAAAAGGGAGACAAAGGGAAATGGGAGGAAGATGGCCTTTGCTGCATTGTGCATGAATGGCATATTGGAGTATTATCATGATGGATTCATTTACATGCACATCATCCACATCATGATTTTACAACATGCACATGCAAAAGAGACAAGGGTCTGTTTTCTTGGCTTGATGAAGAGGGTTAAGCCTACATGAGAACGGATGATAAGTTCCATTGAAAAGGGAGTAAAGTGAAAAAGAAAAAAAACTTACTTTTCTTTATATTCTAAAGGGAAAAAAATTCTGTACCAAAAAAAAAAAGTTCAACCAATAATTGGTCCTATTTTCTTTCTTAAATAGAAAAAAAAGTTTAAAATCACTGTAATAATGATGTTGAAAAAAATTTATCTAATTTATTTTTTCAAATAGGATGGTTTTGTTAGTACAGAATGAAAGACGCGTGGTCATTATGAAGATGAATAGAAGATTCGGTATCTTCTATATGGAATTTGGAAAGACAAAGAAGACAAGCATGGGAACTAGTGAGGGAAGACGTGTTTTCCTCATGTATTCCCAGAGACACCTAGTGGTCAATGCGAATTTTGATTGTCACTACAACAGCAACTCCATTTAAAAAAGTCTTAAATATACAAAAATGTGCATAATCTATGTTCGATTTTTCAGTTTAGTGTCTAATGTTTTTTTGTTCTAGTTTAGTGCCTAATATTTCATTTCATTACTCAAATTGGGTTCAACCGTGATGAGCCGTTAGGTTTAACTGTTAACCCATTAAAAATGTCAGTTGACATACTTTTAAGGTAAAATATATAAATAATCCTCAAACTTTTTGGGTATTGCATTTTGGTCACTCCTAAAATTAAATATAAAATAACCAGAGCTTACCCCGATGGCAGATGGAGGAAACGACAACTGGCTGGGTTTTGGTTGGAACAAAGATGGGAACCAGGTGGCGGTGGCGGTGAGGCAAACAGAGCTCGGGATCGGCGCGATAATCGTGAAACCAATGGCGATGGTTTATTGTTTTCTAACGAATCTTTAAGTCGTTCTCTATGGCGACGATGATGATTCACGGTACAAGGGTGGTCGGGTTTTGGTCGCGGACAGACGGCGATCACCTTGGTGGTGACGGTGCGACCTATGGAAACCTATGGAGTTCGGAATCATGAAAAATATCAATAGTGAGTTTTTTTTGTTTTTAACGGAGCTTCAAAGGGCCACCTACGACGATCGACGACGATTTACAGTGAATAGAAGGATTTTGGTCGAGGGATGGAGGGAATGTTTTGGTGGTGGTGGTGCATGTCACTTTCGGGAAACGACGACATAAGAAGAAGAAGAAGAATGAGGAGTTTAACGGGGTGGTCAAAATGCAACACCTTAAAAGTTTGGGGATTATTTATGTATTTTAATTTAAAAAATATGTCAGTTGAAATTTTTAATGGGTTAACGGTCAAACTTAAAGGTTTATCACGGATGGACCCTTTTTGAGTAACAGGATGAAACATTAAATATCACTCTGAAACGAAAAAATATTAGACATTAAACTAAAAAAAACATTGATTAAGCATCTTTTGTAAATTTCAGCCTTTGAAAATATAATCTCTCTCTTCATTTCATAAATTCATTTTCCCGCAACATTGTCTAAACGAATTTACCAAAAAAATTAAATTTTTAAGTTACATATGGAATGAGACTTCAATAATCACTCGCAAATGATTAAGTTACAATCTGTAATATCACAGGAGAAGAAAAAATGAATTTGATGATGTTGGTCTTTTTTTATTATATAATTCTCAAGCTTAAAATTATCATCAAAACAATCACAAGCTTGACATGAGATGATATGACACAAGAAATTTAAAAACAATCAATAAAGGGTTATTTTATTGAAAATCATTTTGCCAGATTTTATTTATCTGTCACATATTCTTTTAGAAAATTTTACTAATTTATCATTTTTTTACGATCATCATTCACGTCTTACATTGACATGACATCAATTCGAATAAAGCGCAGATAATGATTTAAACCTTTTTAAGATGAGTGTTAGATCCATAAAATTTTCTAAAACGATAACTGACAGGTAATTAATTTCTATTAGGGTGATTTTGATGTAAAACGTCGCAAAAATATATGTAAGTAGCTTTGCTTTGTTTTTTTTTGAAAAAATAAAATTTAATTAGCTAATCATTTTTATTTTTTATCTTTTGAAAAATTAAGTCCTATGACCATAAAGAAAATCACGTGACTTTCACAGTTATCATTTTCTTCAAATAATTTTTTCTTTTTTAATAAATTTTTTCATTAAATCCTGAAAATGAGATAATAAAATACTTTTTTCTTCAATAATAATAATAATAATGAAAAATAGTGCCAATAAACTTTGTCTCGTCTCTTGATTTTGTCATTATTTAATCAATATTTTTGTGTTGAATATATTTTTAAATTTAATTGAGCTTCAAAGTTATTCTTAGATATGTTGAGATAATATATATATATATATATATATATATATATATATATCGAGTATAAAATTCTTATAAATCTATATTTTAATATGTTTCTGATATGTTGATTGAATGGATAATTAGTGAATTCTTATAAACTACTGCTAGTTTAAAGGGATACACTGCTTAAGGGGATGACACACATTTAAGGGAATGTTTGGTTCAAGGAATGTGGGATTCCCATGGGAATGAAATCCACATTTCCATGTTTGGTTGGTCGGGAATCCCATTCTCGGTAATGTTTTATTACCAATAGTATATTTTTTGGGTATATTACCAGGAATGTCATTACCTCTCTTTCTTAGGTATTGTTAAATTATCGGCGTTTTGGACTAAAATACCCTTAATTTTTTTTCCCAAAAATATCCTTCTTCTGTCATTGAATAATAAAAATTCTACGAAGGTTAAATTACAAATTTATCCTTAAACTATTTTAGATTTACAAAAAAAGTCTATAATTAAAATTTTATATGAAGTTCAGGGATTAAAATAAAATTTTACCCTTTCATTAAACATTTTTATATTTTCAATTTTTTTTAAAAATATATAAATTTTATGAATTTAAATTTTTTAAAGAATATATATAAATATTTTTCAACTTGTTAAAAAACAAATATATAATAAGGACAATTTGATCAAATATACATTCCAATAATATTTTATTCCTTTAACCAAACACGATAATCTTACATTCCTGCTAAACCAACCAAACACAAAATACAACATTCCCAGTAATTCTATTACCTGGTAATCTTACATTCTCACTGGTAATTTTACATTCCGTGAACCAAATGCACCCTAAAGGTTCACTAGCATTAACTCATTAAATTTTTATTAATGTGTGATGTAAATAAAAGAATACAAATTAATGACTCAATTATCTAAATAAAAAAATTAAAAATATAATAATGAAAATAATTTTTTGAATTAAAATATAATAATAAAAAATAAGTTTTTGAAAAAACAATGATAAAAACTAAATTATCAAGACCAACGTCGGTCTTGTCTTGGGTAAACATCACTAGTTTATTGGTTAGTCTTGGGTAAACATCACTAGTTTATTGGTTAAATAATGACAAAATCAAGAACCGATACAAAATTTATTGGCACTATTTATTATTATTATTATTATTGAAGAAAAAAAGTATTTTATATCTTATTTTCAGGATTTAATGAAAAATTTTATCAAAAAAGAAAAATAATTATTATATAAGTTGTTGAATTCAGTTTCCATCATCATCTAGATGGATGGAGTACTTGGGTGCAGTCACACTTTTACAATTTTAAATTCTCTTATTGTTTAAGGTACCTTTTTTATATTTTTTTATTAATTATATATTTTCAGACCCCTCAAATGTTGTAATTCCGGACCTATAAATTTCTAAATTTCCATCCCTAGCAGAAAATCTCTCGTGTGTCCGTGAATTTCATCACCTCCCAACCATTTGTTGATTCCATTGTGGGGAAGCTTTGCACGTATATCACATAATCATACAAGAAAATATTTGCAATTTCTCACTTAGTTTTCCTACTTTGAGAACTTTGGTTTACATCTCTTTAAAATTGCCAACATTCAACCTTTTAACTTCAAAATCCTAGAATCCAACGTATATAAGAAAAAAGAAAAGAAAAAAAACCCAAAGAAGCTTTTGGAGTTCCATGTTCAACCTCAATCCTATTTCTCATTTACACCTTTCCATTTACCTTGATCTAGAAACCTTTACCATAAACCCCATCTCTCCTCACATAATGGAACAAGCATTAGGATTCTCATCATTAAACATTTGGTGAGGTGGATTACCATAAACCGGATAACCCGGCACATACCCGTGGTAACCATGCCCGTGTGGGTGAGTATACGGGTTTCCATGACCATATCCATAACCCGGGTTCTCATATCCAGGATAACCCGGCATGTAACCAGGTGCGTATCTAAATTGGGGTTGAGCCATAAACTCCATTCGGTTCCCTTCCATCTTACCACCACCATCTTCACCATTTCCACCTTTGTTCTTCTTTCCTCCACCGTCGCCACCACTCTCTTTGTTGATGTCTTTGTCTTTCTTAGGTGCTACAATCTCAACATTCTTCTTGAGTTTGTCCTTCAAAGCTCCAGCCAAGGCCTTAACATCCATAGTCCCCTTAACTGTGACCACCTCCTTCTGCCTGTCGACTTTCAACTCATGCACACCTACAACACCATGAAAAAAAAGGTCAAAACTCAAAAACTAATACAAGATTTCAACGAAAGGGTAAAAGTTTATAGGAAATTAGCAATGAAAAGTCATCCACCTTGGGTTTCAGAGACAATTTTGCGAATTTTATCAATGCATCCATCACACTGGCATATCAGTTGCACCTTCAAATCCGCCGTCGTTACCGGGGCCTGATTAAAAATAATAAATACATGGTTATTTTGAAATGTATTGAAAATTTGATATTGAAAAATTCGAAATTCTTACATCTTTGGGTTTTTTCTCTGATTTATTGTCAGAATCCTGCTTTTTCTCTTTGTCTGATTTTTTCTCCTTTTTCTCTTCTTTGTTGTCATCTTTCTTGGGTTGAGGAGAAACAAGGTCAACCTTCTTCTTGGTTTTCTTCACGAGCTTCTCCTTCATGGCGGTCGGATCCATAGTTCCTATCACCGTCACTTTGTTTGAGCTCATATCAGTTTTTACCGTCTCCACCCCTGCAAAAAACAGAGTAAATAACAAAACCCAGAAACAAAACGGGGATCTTAAACCTTCTTCTCTGATTGTACCTTCAAATTCATGAATGTGCTTGAGGATTTTGGTAGCACAGCCTTCACAAAAGCAATCAAACTTGAGAACAATGGTTGAGGATCCCTTTTCCTTCTTTTCTCCATCCCCGCCTTTCTTGCTTCCATTCTTTTTCTGCAACGGAGAGAAAGAAGAACCATCATTTAATAAACCATATCGATTAACAACGAAATGAGAAATGAAAGAAGATGAAAGGGCTAGGAAGAAAGAGAGGGAAATGGGGTTGGAATTTGGAGAGTATTTTGCTGACTGACCTCTCCCATGGCTAGTAAGAATCCAATATAGTAATCTGGGTTTATGGATTGTGATGTGTGGAAGCAAGGGAGAAAAGGAGAGCAATATTTATAGGAGAGTGAAATACTATTGGTGACGATGATGATGATGTATGAATGGATGGTCTAAACGCGTGGAATGAATGATGTGACTTAGGGAGTAAGGGGTTGAAAAAGTAGGATACTTCGTAGAAAGTGAGCAAGGTGGACTGGATTTGGAGGTTCTTCCCTCTTTCCATCACTATTGTGCACCAGTTGAGTGTGCCAAGGTTCAGCAAAATCAGACCCCGTTCAGAAAATTTCTTACTTCCTCCGAACTATAATTAGTGTTTTATATTGATTTTACAAATATTTCGAGATATATTTAATCAAATAAAATGATAAAATTATTTTTAAAATTTGATTGATAAATTTTACATATTTATTTTGATATATATAATAGAATAAAACATATTATTATAAAAAATATATAAATATCATAATTTGTTGATTTTAATAAAATATTTTAAATAAGATAATTTTAAAATCTAAAAGAGACATTTAATAGGACGAGGAGAATAACTTATATAATTCAAGTATATTCATAAATTATATAATAATTTTTTGTTATACTTTAATATTGATAGTGATTTAATTACGGATGAACTATGAACACCTTTATTAAACTTAACCGTCTTTTTGAGTAAGGTCATGGATTCGAACCTAACGTTTGCAAATAGAAAAAATTAAGTTGAGAGGGTCACCCTCATATATTTAGTATCTAATTTGGATTAGTTGATCAATATATCATATACTAGGTGATTAATTCAAAAACAAATTCAACCACCCATATTAAATACTTGCATTTAAGGTGGGTTTTGTTTTATGTAAAACAATTTTTGGAAAATGTTTTTATTATTTTTCAATGTATGGTTAACAAAAAATGTTAGTCAATGTAAAACATTTTCTTCATAAACAAATTTTTTTTTTGCATTTTTCAGAAAAATACTTACGATCTATTTTTCGTAAATCGTTTTATAAATTTTTCATTTCAAAGTATATATTTCATATTAATATTGTATTTTAGTATTGTTTTAACAAAATATTAAATATTTTAAATAAGAGAATTTTAAAATCTAAAAGATACATTTAATAGGATGAGGAGAATAACTTATATTGTTGAAGTGTGTTTATAAATTATATAATATTTTTTATTATACTTTTAATATTAATATTGATTTAATTACAAATAAACTATTAACACCCTTATTAAATTCAACCACCTTTATACTAATAATCCGTTGGTCTAGTGTGATGAGGTATTAGACTTTTTGAGTAAGGTCAGGGATTCAAGCCTTAACGTTTGTAGATGGAGCAAATTAAGTTGCGAGGTCACCCTCATCTTTGTAGTACTCAATCTGGATTAATTGATCAATAGATCAGATACTAGGTGATTAATTCAAAAACAAATTCAACCACATGTATTAAATACTTGCATTTAAGGTCGGGTTGTTCTATATAAAACATTTTTTGGAAAATGTTTTTATTATTTTTCAATGTATGGTTAGCGAAAAAAGTTGGTCAATGTAAAATATTTTCCTCATAAACAAAATTTTATTTGCATTTTCAGAAAAATACTTACGATCTATTTTTCGTAAATCGTTTTATAAATTTTTCATTTCAAAGTATATATTTCATATTAATATTGTATTTTAGTATTGTTTTAACAAAATATTAAATATTTAAATAATAATTATTAATAACTTTAAAAATATAATATTATATATTTTTAATATTATAATAATATAATCAGTTATATTATGATAATATATGATATTGTATTCTTATTTTAATTACTTCAATCATTATAAGTCAATCAAGTGATCGTATAGTAGAAGAGGATAATATTTTATTAATTAATTATGGGTTCAAATAATTAAATATTAAAGAAATTAAACTACATATTAAGAAAAATGTTTATGCATATTTCAACAAAAGTTCTTCTTTCATTTATTTGACTTTGCTTATACAATTTCATGTTTATACATAAAAATACAATTTCGTTCATTTATTTTAAATTTTTTTATTTGTTTTATTTTGTTCGATTTGAATCATAATTTTTGTTTATTATTGTTATTTTAATTTTAAATTAATGTTTTGTCTAACATACATGGTGATAACCGTCGTTTTGCTATCAAAATAATTTCGGCTTCTTAAATAAAAAGAAAAAGATAGTATAGAGAAGCAGGGTCGATCCACATAGACTACGGTTTTTGTGATTTAATAAAATTGTTTCTTGATTTAGGAAAAGATAAAATTCCAGGTAAAGTAGAAAATATATAATAAAATAAATAATTATAAAAAAGGAAAAATAAAAAAATAATAAATATTAATAGTAATAAATATAAAAAGGGATTTTTAAAAGTTTTTTAAATAAAAGATAATAATTAAATAAAAGAAAATAATTAAATAAACAAAATAAAGAGATTGAGATAAAGAGAAACTTATTGTGAAAGCAGCCTCAGACTTCAGCTTTGCCTCAAATTCCTCGAATCATCGAAACAGATTTTTACTTCAAGATTCACGTTAGCTTACAAGGACAATTCTTCGTTGCCAACTTGATTGTGTCGTTTTAACAATAACTGATTCCGATCTCAGTTTCCTCTAAGCAAACAATTTTGCTAAGTGTGTTCTCGGGAAGTTGAATATGCTTCAATAAGCAAATCCTTCTTCAAATGTTAACCATAACAATATCCGGACCAATGTCGAAATCGTTTGGATTTGAAAAGTAAGCTCAGAAAACAGAGAGAAAATTTTAAGCGATTTAAGTACCTTACAATTCTCACGTTTGGAATTGAGCATTCATTTTAGTCTTCGGCTTGAAAGAAAATTAACTAAGCATGACCAAAGTCATACTTAGCATAATTGAAAAGTATGCAAAAAGTAAAGAGAAAGCTAGAGAGAAAAATAATATTTTATTCTCATATGAGAGAGATATATTTCTAGGCTTGCCCTGAGAGGGTATTTATAACATTCAAATTCCTAAAAAACAAGCTAAAACATCTTAAATCCTAATTAAAACACTTAAAACTATTTAAACTAAAATACCTAAAAAATAATATTTAAAATAATATTCTAAATCCTAATTAAAATACTAAAACCTATTTAAACTAAAATACCTAAAACAAAGATAAAATATAAAAATAATATCCTAAAACTTAATTAAAATACTAAAACTTATTTAAACTAAATAAAAAAGATAAAATATAATGTTTAAAATATTATCCTAAACTTGAGTTTAATTCAAATCTAAATTCCAACCAACTTTGATTCTGAAAATAAAAAAAAACTGCAGAATTTTGTCCTTTTTGTGCAATTTCTAAAATCTGACGTCCTGCACAGAAAATGAATCAAAACAAACAATTAAGTCACAAAAACCAATGATTAAAGAGTAATTTAAAAGCAAAATATTAACTAAATTAAGCACTTATCAAATTCTCCCTCACTTATTCAATGCTTGTCCTCAAGCATTCATCAATTAACACATCAAAATTACAAGTTATGATCTTCAATTTCAATTTATTCCTCAAACTTCCAATCGAATTAAGTCCATGACATTTGCCGAATTCAAGTTGCAATCAAGCAAAGACACAACTAAGAAAATTTAAAGTAAGCAAGATATCCCAATTAATTGCCAACTTCAATGAAATATGACTCAATACCTCACAAAGATTCACACATATCCGCTCAAAGTGCTTGGGGTAAATGAAATCGCTCAAGCCGAAATTAACCAAAATATTACCATAAGCTTGGAATCCAATCAAGTCTCCACTACGAAAAATGAACATAATGCAATAATCAAAGGGTATTAAACAATGTGTGATGGGGCTTAGGTTAGGGTAGGGAAAAGGCCAAAAAGAAAGGTTTAAAATACCGAAACAAGAGATCAAATTAATTAAGAATAATCCAATAATTAACATGAAGCGCAATGAAGAACAAAACAAGGAAAAAAGAATAGATGAAAGACAATTGAAACGATCGATTTTTCCTTCCCCTTTTTTTTGTTTTTTCTGTTTTTTTGAAACATTGAATTTTTTTTCATGGAACAACAATGATACAAGATCTCAAGTCTCGGCAAGGGTGTGAAAAGAGAGAAAAAATAAAAAAAAGGCTTCGGGTTTAACTATGAGATGTAAAACAAAGAAAGGGAAATAGGCTCAAATATGGTTCACTAGTGGATATATAAACGGGTAGGCTTTTGGGAAGAGTGGGTTTATCCTAGGTGCCCCTATCACATTAAAACATTATGTTCAATATGTAGTCTCGATATGCATTGTGATTACAAGTTCTAGAATATCCTAATTAGTTTGACACAAACAAGTCAAACAATGAGCAAGAAAGAAAATATATGCTCGTTAGGCCCAAATCTCACAAGAAAAGTTTATGTGCATTGAGTCAATTTCATATCTATCAACAAAAGCATGAAATATCAATACTCAACAAAAATTCACTAGCTATATCAATCACCAATCATACAAATTAAATTCTATCAAAAAGCATGGTCATAATCCAAAAGGAAGCAAGAGCATAAAGCAAATTTCAAGACTAACAACCAAGGATCTCAACATATCAACATCAGAATAACTCAATTTCAAACAATTAAACAAATCAAGGAAAAATTTGACGACATGTTTTTCACTCCCCCCTCACTTATTCCGTTTTGTCCCAAAACGTATATCAAATTTTAAAACAAAGAGAGGGAAAAGGAATACTCCCCAATCTAGTGGCGACCGCGGCCACGTCGAGACGAGCTGTTGTAGAGTAGAATGTTCGATACTACACTGTTCTGTTCGAACTTTTCTACACAGTTTGAACCAATTCTATTTTTTTTGCACTGCATTGTTCGAATCTGTTGTGTATTTTTCTGCACTGTTCGAACAAAATAAGTTTTTTTGCACTATTCTGTTCGAATTTTTCTGCACAGTTCGAACCAAGTCAATTTTTCTATACTGTTTTTTCATTAAATATTTGATCCGAATTTGGATATGTT